AGGGGCTTGGACTTCCAGCAAGCGTGCATGAGCGTGTTAGATAGGAGTGAATGGAGACGAATGATACTTGGGACCTGACGATCTGTTGGAGTGTGAGCAGGGTAATTTTTAGTGAAGGGATTCAGGGAAACCGGTTATTTTCATATAGTCGGACTTGAGTCCTGGAAATGGGAAGTACAATGCCTGCACTTTAAAGGAGTGGTTTGGGATATTGGCAGTTTGGAGGGATATGTTGTGTATCTTTATACGTATATGCTTCTAAACTGTTGTATTCTGGGCACCTCTGCAAAAGCAGTGATAATGTGTGAGTGTGGTGAAAGTGTTGAATGATGATGAAAGTATTTTCTTTTAGGGGATTTTCTTTCTTTTTTGAGTCACCCTGCCTCTGTGGGAGACGGCCGACTTGTTGAAAAAAAAAAAAAAAATTGTAGACAGCCTGTACTGTCTGCATAGACAGCCTATGCTGTCTGCCAACTGAGTACATATTTTGTGCCATGCTTGTGCTGCCACCTATAGGCCTATGCCACTTCAGTGTACCCAGACCTGCCTCTACCTCACTCTCTCAGCGGCCTTGACTCAGTCAACAAGGCCTACTCCCCTCTCCCTCGCGGGCATGGCCCTCCCGGGCCATGGGCACAAACACACTGCCTGTGTACCCCACGACATTGCAAATAAAGTATGAAGTCTCTGAAGCCTTATCTTTGAACCCCGCTCTGCAGAACGACCAATAATCTGGTAAACATTGGTGACAGTGGTGGTTACAGTGGTTGTGTTGCTCGAGGAGGGAAGGAAAAGGAATGAAGTCGTCTTCACTTCATCACCCCACACAAGAAGTATCAGTGTCTCAACGAGTCATCCTGATGTCGTGTCTGCACGTTTCAGCATCCAGACATGGGTACAAGCAGGATTTGGCCGAAATTTACCGAATTTCTTGGAGAATTGTGACTCCATGCCACAGTATCCCATTCTGTTCAAGTCACGTGTTCAGCGTATGGTTCTGCTGTTGTTGTTAAACTCATCACGGCTATTTCAGCAAGTCAGTGGTGAGTTTGTGGTGATTTCAGTGTCCAGTGTGGGTGTTTCTTTAAGTGGGTATGTGGGAGAGGAAGTGGCTGGGTTACTCGCCTCACTCACACCTCAACCGCCTACCACCACACTCCACCACTATGTACTCACTCCCTCTGCTGTGTTTTCTGCTGTTTTCCATGTGAATTCATTGCCAGAGCTGTGTATCCGAGTGCCCGACGCCACTCAAAGCTATGTGGATCACCAAGCCACGTAGATCACAAAGCCACGTGGAGTGTGGACGATGCGACGTGGATCTACAAGCCACGTGAGTTACCAAGCCAGATGTCCCAGGCCACATGCTGTGGTCTGCTGCCGTATCACTCAACTGACGTCACCTCACGACGTAACCCATGATGCTGCTCGACTTCACGACGTCACCTACGATGTTGCCCGACTTCACGACGTCACACCAGGACGTCACTTCGAGACGTCTGCTGACGTCACCTCGAGACGTCTGCTGACATCACCATGCTGCTGACGTCACCTTGCGATGTCACCCCATGACATCACCTCACGACGTCACGCCTGATCGACAGTGTTAGTTTCACAGTGAGCAATATGTTGTGTTGTCGAGAAGATTGAGAGAAGATATATGTCATATGATAATTAATTCCTCTCAGTCAGTGTTCTCACATGCTCATGTATAGCTTAGTGTCGATATTTTGCACAGAAAAGCACCATTTGCTAGTAAGCCATGTAGTACCGCATGTGCAGTGTGGGTGTGTGCAGTTTTCCATGTGTCCTGTGTTGTCTTGAGCCCAGACCACTGTGTAGCACCTTGTGTTACTTGTCACCCAGTGTGACCTGCACATTTGACAGCTAATATTAGTCAGCCCAAGCAACTGAACCTCTTGTACAGAAAGCTCTTATGTCCGTCACTCATGATGCCCTGCAGAATCGTACCTGCTACGATTCCCATCGAGATATGTTTCACTTCACCTCCAGACCATCAGAGTGCAGTTAGATGTAGAGAAACAAGTCTGGGGACACTTAGACTAACCTCTACTATAACTCCAACTGCTGAGAGAATGACACTCGTCAAGCCGCAGTTAGACCCTGACGGCACTTTGTCAGCCTCATGTCACAAGCTTCAGTGAGCAGCCTGCACAAAGATGGTGTCCCTTTGACTGCTAGCCTGCCCACTCCAGTACGGTGTATGATGTTACGACTCCTAGATGTTTCACCGAGTCGTCTCTGCCACGACTCACTCCACACTCACCGGCAGTGACAGCCCCAGCGACAGTACAAGTTGAAAAATGTCCTCTGGAGTCACTTGCCAGAAGTCCTGCTCAGTTGCCGAGTATTGACGATGCCTCATTCGAGGGCATCGGCAGGTTGTGCCCCAGGTTGAGTGAACCTGCAGTGACCCCTACGATAACTGCTTGTTCTAGAGGAGACCAAACCCTGTTACATCACAGCTCAGCCGCAGCGATGTCTCCTGTGTTGCAGTATCTGTCCAGATGCAGGAAGGCATGCAGTGATGCTCATCAACGCTCACTGCCTATGACCACGATGTTTAGCACACCCCACCTATTTTTTTCTTCCCTCCCTGTAGAAAGTTTTCTTTTTTCCATGTCCATCTATATGTTTTTATTTTGTGTTCTGTGCCCTGTTCCTGCGAGAGAGAGACTGAGTCTTTTTATAGCCAGTCATGGTCGGGGACGGCCATGGTGGTGTGTGGCCGAGCGAGTGTAGACAGCCTGTACTGTCTGCATAGACAGCCTATGCTGTCTGCCAGCTGAGTTCATATTTCACACCATGCTTGTGCTGCCACCTATAGGCCTATGCCACTTCAGTATGCCCAGACCTGCCTCTACTTCACTCTCTCAGTGGCCTTCACTCAGTCAACAAGGTCTACTCCTTTCTCCATCACGGGTATGGCCCTCCCAGGCCATGGGCACAAACACACTGCCTGTGTACCCCACGACAATGCAAATACAGTAGGAAGCCTCTGAAACCTTATCATTGAACCCTGCTCTGCAGGAACAACCAATAATCTGGTAAACAATATATATATATATATATATATATATATATATATATATATATATATATATATATATATATATATATATATATATATATATATATATATATATATATATATATATATATATATATATATATATATATATATATATATATAATATGTCGTGCCGAATAAGTAAAACTGGTCAATTAGCAACAACATTTAAAATTAAGTCCTTTCTAAAATTTTCTCTCATACTTTTAAAGATATATTTTTTTCGTTAATGTTGATGTAAAAATTTATAATTTTGCACCAAAAGGAACTTAGAAAACTTACCTAACCTTATTATAAAAAGAACAATTTATTTTAGCCTAACCCAACTAAATATATTTTAGATTTGTTTACAATAATTTAATACTAAACAAACACGGTGAAATATATTTTTTTCGTTAGGTTCAGAATGATTTTGGCGAAATTATTGCATACACAAATTTTCACTTGTCCTATATGGCAAGATGAGCGTTGCTATTTAAGCCAAGATCGCAAGTTCTGCCTATTCGGCACGGCATATATATATATATATATATATATATATATATATATATATATATATATATATATATATATATATATATATATATATATATATATATATATATATATATATATATATATATATATATATATATATATATATATATATATATATATATATATATATATATATATATAATATATATATATATATATATATATATACGTAGAGACAATGTTTATAAATAATTTCTCCTGTTTGCGAATTGTTAAGCATTTCAAATCTCTTTCGTTATCTACTGCATGTGGCAGGATTCGATGAAATAACTTTCAAAACGAGCTTGGTGCCCGGGGGTATGGTGCCCATGGGTATGGTGCCCGAGGGTATGATGCCCGGGGGTATTGTGCCTGGGGATATGGTGCCCGGGGGTATGGTGCCCATGGGTATGGTGCCCGAGGGTATGATGCCCGGGGGTATTATGCCTGGGGATATGGTGCCCGGGGGTTTGGTGCTCGGGGGTATGGTGCCCTGGGGTCTGGTGCCCGGGGGTATGGGGTAACATCGCTTACCTTCGGATAAGCGCCCATACTTATCTTGGGACTAGCTCAGTGGTAAAGTACTGTGGACTCTGATACAGAGTCCACATTTCCATCAGACATGACATCTCCACTGCTTCCAGCCTTCTCCTTGTTGCTTCACACCCATATAAGAGCATTGAACATAAGAACATAAGAAAGGAGGAACACTGCAGGAGGCCTGTTGGCCCATACTAGGCAGGTTCTTTACAATTCATCCCACTAACAAAACATTTGCCCAACACAACCTTCAATGCTACCCAAGAAATAAGCTCTGATATGCAAGTCCCACTCAAATCCAACCCCTCTCACTCATGCATTTATCCAACCTAAATTTGAAACTACCCAAAGTTCAAGCTTCAATAACCCAACTAGGTAGACTGTTCCACTCATCAACTACCCTATTTCCAAACCAATACTTTCCTACATCCTTTCTAAATCTAAACTTATCTAATTTAAATCCATTACTGCGGGTTCTCTCTTGGAGATATACCCTCAAGACTTTATTTATATTCCCTTTATTAATACCCATCTTTGGTATAACTCTACTTTCATACGTTCCCGTCTTCGCTTCCATAGATAAAGTTCTTTATTTCCACAGACTCCTCAGTGCACCACTCGCATTTTTCCCCTCATCAGTCAAAGAGAGAGAGAAGGGAGAGAGAGAGAGAGAGAGCGAGATAGAGAGAGGGAAGATAGAGAGAGGGAGAGAGAGAGAGAGAGAGAGAGGAGAGAGAGAGAGAGAGAGAGAGAGAGAGAGAGAGAGAGAGAGAGAGAGAGAGAGAGAGAGAGAGAGAGAGAGAGAGAGAGAGAGAGAGAGAGAAAGAGCGAGAGAATACATTTGAAGACTGACCAGGTTCTTGGCACTGTAAGGCACAGGGGCTGCAGAGGTCTTTGCAGTAGTTGGTGTCAGGGACGATCTTCTCACATTCCCTCACACTTTCGGCAGCATTGAAGAAGTACCTGATGCAGACAACAGAGCATCACTCCTGGATATTAGCAGACGACTGAGATGCCTCAGACTCAACACATCAAACTCATACAGAGTTAAACATAAATGACAAAAATATGTACTACGGCTTACGAAATCTTAATAACCATTCTATAGCCTGAATCAGTTTAAGTACTAATTAATACTCAAATTTTTTACTATTTTTGCTACCTCTTTTTTTTTAATAATGCATAATTAAAATTGTACCGCTGAATACCCATGCCTGGTCTTAAGTAGTATGTAAACAGTATTAGTCTATCTGAAATGCTCATGCATCCTAGTGGCTTTCTATGGTGCTTAACAGTATTGTATTACATGTAAACTATATATTTTTAAGGCACAAATAAGTATTTCTTTTGTTAAGAAGTCATTGAACGGTGGATACTGCACTAGTCTGCCTTGGTTTTAGAACTGTCTTGGTACAGGCTCGTAACCTCCTTCTGGTGATTTTGGTGATTTTTTTTTTGTATTATTTTGTGTGGTATAAACCTTGGTAATAAATACCGACAAGTTGGTTTAGAAAGACACGTAAGCAAACACTATAACATATTTATTAGAAAACGTTTCGGTCCTGGGACCTTGATCACTTCTAACATACAGAGGTAGAAAGACATTATATATATAGGCGGAGTGTGAGATGTGACGCACGTGACCTGAGGAATGTCATAAGAACATAAGAATGGAGGAACACTGTAGAAGGCCTACTGGTCCATGCGAGGCAGGTCCTTATCAAAACAACCTCTGCCTATGATGAGGACCAGTAGACGATGAAATCATGTGACTCCTGTGTTGTTGGGTTGGTGCTGCTTAAGTATCATGTATGCCAATGTTTTTTGAAAATTTGTAGTTTCCAGTGTTGCGTTCTATAGTGTCGGTGACGGTGATTAGTGAGGCTTCTAGGCACCGTCGGCGTCTGAGGTCTGGTTCGGTGAGAACGAGTTGTGCCTCGTTCCAGTTCATCAAATGCCCCGTGGAGTCTCTGTGGAGGACACAGGCGTACCTTACATCGTCTCTGTTAGAGGCATCTAACAGAGACGATGTAAGGTACGCCTGTGTCCTCCACAGAGACTCCACGGGGCATTTGATGAACTGGAACGAGGCACAACTCGTTCTCACCGAACCAGACCTCAGACGCCGACGGTGCCTAGAAGCCTCACTAATCACCGTCACCGACACTATAGAACGCAACACTGGAAACTACAAAATTTCAAAAACATTGGCATACATGATACTTAAGCAGCACCAACCCAACAACACAGGAGTCACATGATTTCATCGTCTACTGGTCCTCATCATAGGCAGAGGTTGTTTTGATAAGGACCTGCCTCGCATGGGCCAGTAGGCCTTCTACAGTGTTCCTCCATTCTTATGTTCTTATGACATTCCTCAGGTCACGTGCGTCACATCTCACACTCCGCCTATATATATAATGTCTTTCTACCTCTGTATGTTAGAAGTGATCAAGGTCCCAGGACCGAAACGTTTTCTAATAAATATGTTATAGTGTTTGCTTACGTGTCTTTCTAAACCATTATTTTGTGTATATTGTATGTGTAGTAAAAACTCATTCTTTAACGGTTGACATTAATACAAATTATAATGTTAGGAGACAAGAACAAATAATGTGACATTGTGGCAATGATTCGATACGTTGCCACAATAAAATGTCACATTAGTTTCACTTGTGTTCTTTTACTTAACATATTGTCGGTAATTTTATCAGGATGGAAATAAATGGTATAAAATACCGACACAATGGAAATATAAACACATATGCAGTATAATGTGATCCTTTATTGACTACGTTTCGCCCACACAGTGGGCTTTTTCAAGTTACAAACAGGTAGTTCTGTTTGTGACTTGAAAAAGCCCACTGTGTGGGCGAAACGTAGTCAATAAAGGATCACATTATACTGCATATGTGTTTATATTTCCAATTTTATCAGACTATTACACGTATTATAATGCATCAGAGAAGAACCAAAATGAAGACAATGAAATAAATAAAACTGTCTTCTTGAGGATGGACTGGTAACATCAACCAATGTTTATTTCGCTTTTGAGTTTATTTTGTATAAAAATGAAACATAAATAAATTTGAAATGTATATACATTAAATGTTAACTAAAATATTCACGACAGGTTAGTTGTAAATAAGACAGAAGGAAGCACTGGTTAGAAATAATAATAATAATAATAATAATAATAATAATAATAATAATAATAATAATAATAATAATAATAATAATAATAATAATAATAATAATAATATCTTTATTTTTACCAGGAATGATTAGCTGTGAGTAATATTTGCCTACCATGGGTGAGCAGGCCTAGTTCAGTGCTCCTCTGTCTTTATTTTAAACTTCATTATAAAATATCTTGAAGTGTCTTTAGAAGTTATGTATGCAGTTAGTTTTATATATTTCAAATTAATTGTGAATAAATTTGTAAAATCTGCATAAAACAAGGAGCCATTAATTTGATAATGTATTAATATAAATTATGTATACCAGTAATGGAATATTTATTAACAAATGATAGAAAAATCCCTGTATATGAAGTCCAACAAACATCATTTTATGTGTCTTGGCATCTTAAATGAATACAAATCATACATAGGAGACATTAAATAGTGTCAAAACGCTTAATCTAAAAATAAAAGCAGTTTAGACACTTTATTTAGACAACGTTCCGCTTGGAGATCAAGCGGAACGTGTGTTAGCTCTGTTGTTTGTTACTATGCTAACTTGTAGGACAATAAATCTCCCAAACTTATTGTCCTACCAGTTAGAGGAGCGTTACTCGTCGGCCAAGTGATACTCTCGTGACACTCTCCTACATTCACTGTTTAAGTCTGAGGGAAAGATGGAGGGTGAATGTTTGATGACTGTAGGAGCATTCCTCTTTCAGGACAGCAGGGCTGGTAAATAAGTATTTCTAAGATAGAATCCAATGATCACTACCCTTTTGGCTCTAGTGTCATGCATGTAAAGATAATGTAAGAAATCGTCTCTGTTGGTTAGTTTGCAATAACCCAGAGGGTAAACTTTCCTCTTTCCTCGTCCGTGCTGAGTAGGACATCAAGAAAGGGAAGTCGTTCATCTCGTCCCTTCTCTACTGTAATTGAGTAGAAGGTTCCACAATGTTAAGCTTCAAAGGCAGATCATCCATGCTGAATCATCTGCATAAAATAGCCAACACATCGCCCGCTTAACATTGCTTCATCACACCCTTTGCTCCTCCTGATCCTCCGTGCACAGAGTGGCCAAGACTGACTGACTGGAGAACACATGGCCATTCTATACCATTTCCTGAACATAACAACTTTCCTTCCTTGATGTTCTACTCTACGAAGATGAAAATCCCACTTTCAGGGTCTATAGGAAACGTACCAATAACTATAATTTGTTACATCATCTTTCGCACCATGATATTAAAACCGAAGGGATGCTCATGTAGCTGGGTATGCCTGTTTTCCGCTAGGGTAGCTGAGCTCTTGGAGAAAATTCTCCGGTAAAGGGGATATCTCTCAGACCTCTCAGCACCTCCTCAGCCCTCTGAGGGACTTGGCCCTCCCGGAAGGGCTAGTGGACTCTTTCTTGCAAACAGGTTTATTAAAACCACTTGTATGTGCCGTAGGGTCACGAGGCACGCCTTCCTCTCCTTGCTAGAGTTCCTAATCAACTATACAACGAGGTTACATTACTCTTTTCCCCTTAGCAGGAAAATTAAGGGAAAACCTGTGCCCCACTTTATCTATAAGTTGGGACTATTGTGAATTCTAGTCTATACTTGAATAACAAGAAACCTACTCTCTTGTATTGAATATTGTTGCAATTTGTAGCAAGAAAGGGATATAAAGCTGAGTTCAGCATATTCCTTTGTGCGGACAATGAGCTGGAGGGCGACGAGGGAGGCGGGCCTTACATTGTTTTAAGGAATGGATGAGATGAGACGTGTGTGTGTCACGAGGGCGTTTTCTACTTATCGTTAAAAGACAAAGGGACAGTAGTAACCAATGAGTTCTTGACTTGTTCATTCTCAGGAAACTAGAAAAGTTAGACTAGTTCCCTTATATGAGTCAGGAAATTCGCAGTAGAACTAATCACGTAGTGTTTATTGCATATCCGTGTTCTCCCTGCTGTGGATAATTCCACGAAACTATGGACAAGTGATGTTACTGAATGATGAAGTGCAACCAGTATTGTTAGTGATTACAACGAACATTCCCAACGTAGCGGCGAATATTAGTGCAACATTCCACGAGACACTCAAGCCTTCACTCAAGTCACCGATATCGACCTTATTGGCGCTGTCAATGCCATAAGCTTACGTTGTATGAGCAAAATAAGGCTTAATCTCACTTGTATCGCCAAAAATGAACTGCAGTCCATGGACAGGCACAAGGTGATTAGGGCTGTCATATTCGAGGTCGTAATTCGAGGGCTTTATGCCCAAACCAAGTGATCACCACTACACATTTCAGATGGTAGTGAAATGCTGGATATACACTCCTTTGGGGCAAACTGTTTTCAAACAAAATTGTTGATCAACAGCCACTGTGGAATGTGGAACAGCACCCAGAAGGGATGTCCAGGGAGAAGCTGCTGGACATTGTGCTGTTAACAGAGAAATAACAATTTATAAATGTAATAAAGTTGGTAGAATTACCTTTTACTTTAATTTCTATATGTTTCTTTCATACAGGAAAGTGTACTTATGGCCACAAGGGCATTTTCAGTAAATCAGTCCTTTTTCAGTCTTTTCTCAGTTGTTGTTTGAGGTATATTTTTGATAAATATTTTCAGGAAAGAGTGAAAACAATTTGTCTTGTGCACCAAAACTGGTAAACAAAAGAGCTACAATTTTTTGATCGACGGCCTCCTTCTTCGGGGGGGGGGGGGGGGAGGAACGCTTTTTCCCCTTTTTTTTTTATTTTGCTCCAATTTTAATGAAAATTTTCCTGTGA